CTTTGAACACTGCTCATAAAAGAGGTTCTCTGTTTTAGAGAATGAGCTCTGTCTTTCATCAGTAAATAATTTTTCCCCATTTTATGCTTCATTCTTGTGCATTCTAACTCCTCTCTGCAGCTGGAAGGATGACTGTAGATGTCACAGTAATGATACTATTACAGCATGACAGCTGAGGGGAAAAACATGTGGAAGAACTGGAAATATTTTTTCAGAGGATAACTGGTACAAACCAGGTAAAAACTGATTAGTTTTTGGGCACCATGACTTTGCAGGAATTAATTTGATACTGTAGTTACAATTCTCCCCTTTAATAGGATTATATAAAACTGTCAAATTAGGGGCTTAAAATGCTTTATCAGTGAGAATATACATTTATGGCTGGTTTCAACAGAGCTACAGAGTAAATTCTGATAGGGAGAGGTATAATATAATGGGAATTTGCCAACAGGGTGACTGTGCATCCATTCATACAATTTACAGTGTTTGTGCTGTTTTTACAGAGGGAGATTCAGATGCCAGTTTTTAGATCTGTGTGAACAGAAGCAATTCAGAGAAATCAGCCTGGTCACAGATGACACCACACAAAAGCTGGCCCACAATTATAGTTCAGACAGGTGATGATTTCTGAATATTTTTGTGTTGTACATTGGGTCAAAAAAAAAGAAAAGTACCAAAGGAGCACCGTTTTTTTATGGCAGTGGGGAATAAGGACTGGGGTTCCACACAGAATGCTTACTTTTCTTTCAGCTTCATTTTCCCTTGGAAAATAAAATCCAATTTTCATGTAGACTCTACTAATATACTTGCAGAGCAGAGGGCACAGAGTACAGCAAGGAATTTTAGTCAGGTGGTAACTGAGTGCATTGGAAGATAATGAATTGCCAGGTATATGGCATGGTAGCATTTTGATCAGCTAAAAGGATGCCATACCGTGAAAACTGATTCCAGTGCAACTCCTCTGCTAAATTCTGCAGAACAGAAAGTGTGTGGGATGCTGAAGTGGAGGGAAATTCCCTGTTATTTTGGAAGTGAGAGAGCTGAAAGAGCGCAAAGACGAGGTACAAGGGGATGCCCGTAGGAGTACACGATAATTCAAATGAAAGCAGGCAAAAGCTGGATATTTTAAAGGATGTAGTTCTAATCTTCGCGAGTGTTTTGGGCTGGGAGCAAGGGAAAGAAGAAACCCTGGATTCTGTCGCTGGGGAAAGGTGTTGTCTGAGCAGAGTGTCAGCTCCACCCGCAGGGGCAGCGCAGGAATGCAACAGGGAACGTAGGGGATCCTGCTGCTGCATTTTGGAGGGAAGCCGGGAAAATCACAGCACAGCGTATTCCTTCCTATACGTGAATAGTCACGCTGTTTCACC